TTTTTTATTTGTTGTAGGGCATGTGTACTTACCTGAGAGAGACAAAGAGAGAGAGAGAGAGTGGGAAAGTGAGAGAGCATGCTGCCAGGTCTGGGACCTGAACCATAGATGGCCATGTGGGAGTCCAGCACCTTAACCACCATGTCATCTGCCGGTCCCATTATGACTCTATTTCTGAGTTCTATTGTAAGACAGATAGAATACAATTTACATGAAATGCAGCGGAAATGAATGCACTCTGAACTATGGAATGCTGATGTAAGCTTAGATCTATAATGTCACTGTGCTGTGATTCTGTCTTCAAAGAGTAGAAAACCTTGCTTTCATGGTGTGGTGAGTGTTACCAAATGAAACAGATGTGATTAGAACCTTTTCCTCCTTATTGCTTCTCTGCCTGATGATTAAAATGCCTTGATTAAGTTATAGACTGCTATAAAATTATAAGTTGCATCTTTTGCTTCTTTTCCCATTTTATTGAACTCATCAATTCCCAAAATAAACTTCACCTCATTTTTGATTCTTTGGAACTTTTTATTTTATAGGAGATGCTGCTCTAAAACAACAACTTCTTCCTCTTTCCTCTTTATGACAAACCTTCCATCCCCTTTAAATTCATTCACAGTGCACATTTGGTTCCTTTCTTAGTTGCTTTCAGAAAGTAAGTTAAGGTATAGATCCTCCATCTATGCAGTTTGTACCAGAGCTGGTTTCCTTCCCTCCTAAGACTTATTTGAAATTTTATCTTTAAGAATCTGCCTTGTCTTCTGAAGATCTCCTGTTTCCATTTCTAACCAAATTTAACTTTGTTCATGTTTTCTCTTTCCTCCTTTTCTTTCCATTATACAACATTCTTCAAGATGTGGACGAGTGCCTGGAACCAAACGTCTGCGCAAACGGTACTTGTTCCAACCTTGAAGGCTCCTATATGTGTTCATGCCACAAGGGCTATAACCCAACTCCAGACCACAAGCACTGCAAAGGTAAATACCATGATCAAATTTCCATTTTTATTCTAACTTCATTTAAGAATAGGTTAGAGCAACTAGCCTTAGAAAGGGGAACCACACTACCTGCATTGATTTAAACTCAGCTATTTAGGGCACATTTTGTTAGGGTCCTTGAAAGTTGTTCCTCATTGTGGTTAAACCCAGGGCATATCTATTTACATAAAAGAAAACAATGTATTTTTAGAAAGTGTCTGTAAACCACAGATCTATATATTTAAATTTTTCTGGTTATAAAAGCAGTACATACAATTGCACAACTCTTTGAATATATTAAAAACCATCAAATTGTGTATACAATTGCACAACTCTTTGAATATATTAAAAACCATTGAATTGTGTACTTGTACTTTAAATAGGATAATGTATGACATGAGAATTATATCTCAATAAAATTGCTAATAATAAACCAGTAGGGCTGGCTCTATGGCATGGTGGTTAAAGTGGCTAGACCCCACATTGCCAACTACACTGTTAAAGTCCTGGACCCAGCAGCTTGAGAAACAGGCTGGATCTCTGTGTGTGTGCATACTCAAAATCCTACAAAGGAGGGAGAAACAGTGAGAAGGGATTGCAGGGTGACCATTCCCTATGAAGGGTGCTTTCTCCTCTTCCTCTCCATGTCTCTCTCTGGCAAGGACACATACCCTCTGACCAAAAAATCAAAACCAAAAACAAACGAAGACTTCATTGTAGAAAATTTAGTGGGGTCAGCAAATGGCATAATAGTTAAGGTACTGGACTTCTATCTTGCCAACCATGGTTTGAGTCCTAGACCCAGCAGCTTAAAAATCACACTGGGCACATATGTGTATGTGCCCAAGATCCCAAGAGGAAAATGGAGAAGGAATTGTGGTGTAGCCATCCCATCTGGAGGGTGATTTTTCAGTTTCCCTCTCTCTGTCTCTTTCTAGTGAGTGTACATGCCCTATGACCAAAAAAAAAAAAAAAGGGAAAAAATAGCAAATACAGAAAAGTAATAATCTCCATGAATAGTCATATTTCATGGATGTGTGTGTATATATAAAGATGGTCTATGTATAATTTTGTATTTTTTTCACTTAATAGTACATCATAAACATTTTACATTTAACTTTTTTTATACATTGCTTTTAGAGGCTGCATTCTAAAAATGTCTTTCCATTTGTCTGGGGTAGGATCAGGCAAGATGTCCATTTTCTACTTTAGAAACTTACATATGCACTAATTGTTGTCCTTTCTCCCTTACCAAAGCCCTTTCTCCCCTTTTCTTATATAGGAATAATAACATCTTATCTTTATTTATTTCATAATTTTTTCCCAAGCCACATCATTTAACAGATGTCAAATGCATCTCAGCTTGTAAATATTTCCCTTTTCCAGTGTCCCTGCGACTCTGCCATTTTCACCTTCTCGATGGTCCTAAATGTTGATTTTTGTCTTTACTAAACTTTCTGTAGATTGTAAGTACATTATCTAATGTATTAATTCATTATTTATTTCTCTTGACCTTATTATATCTGTACATTTTGGGATTATATTTCCTAAATTTATGAAGACCTAGAAATAATCTCCATTTTAATTCTGAACTAACTTAGTTCGGTCATAGAAAGAGTAGCAAAAAGGTCCTTAAAGAATGACATTTTATGAGGGAATCATGTTTTCTATTCACCTCAAATGACAAAAGAAAAAAGATGTTTGTCCCGTCTGCCTATTTCATAATATTAGAAATCTTCCTTTTGTTTCAGTAATCTTGTTCTATTTCAGTAAAGAAAAATGTTTCTTAGCTCTAGAATGAAGCTGCCTGTGCTCCCCTTTGTCATTTTGAAGACCCAAAGATCACCTTGTGCAAGATAACTGGGTTCCTTAAGTCATTCAAAGTGTGTGTGTGTATGTCAGTCATTACTTATAATGAATTACTCCTGACAGCCTCCCCAAACATAAATGAGTAACTTATGCAAGTTGTCTGGCATATCCTGACAAGGCATGGAATGGAGAGTGTAACTTTGCTGCAGACATCTTCACATGAGAATGCTTCATTTGTCATCTTCTATGAGAAAGTCAAAGAGTCTAAAGCACTAAAAACGTTGTCAGATGCTATGTGAGATCCAACCAGCTACAAGAGCTATTGTTGGTCTTAAGTTTGTGAACTGATGTCTCAGGTATTTCATAGAATGTGCTGAAAGGAAATATAATGTAGGTCATGTTTGCAGCCAGCCGCTCCTAAAGCTCGTAGACTAAGAGTCTTGGAAAGGTGGAACTTATTCTTAAAAGGAAATTCAGCTTGTTTATTTAATTTCTTCATTGACACTCAATAATTGGCAGCTAAGACTTATCTATAAATAGAAGGGACTAATAACATGATCAGGGAAACAAGTGGAAGGTTTTAGTTAATTAGAGTAATTGCTATGAAAAATTAAATATATACACTCTTGATATTCAGTTACATAAATATTTTGTGTGAGTTATTTCAGGCAACGTGGGATGATCCGACAACCTGCTTACATCAGGATAAAATTCAGAAGATTAATGCCTCATCACAGATTAAGAACCGTAACTTTGCAGGGCCAGCAGGTGCCATGCAGGTTAAGACACTTAGATCCCACATGGCCATTTGCCACTGTTTGAATCCCTGACCCGGTGGCTTGAAAATCATGTTGTGCACATGTGCATGTGTGCCCAAACTGCTGAGAAGATAAGGGAGATGGGATTGTGAGAGAAGGGATTGTAGTGTGGTCATCTGCCCTAGAGGGTGATTTTTCATCTTCCCCTCTCTTTTCCATTCCCCTCCCCTCTCCTTCCCATTTTCTCTGGTGTGCACATGCTCCCTATAGCCAAAGGAAAAAAAAAAAAGAAATGCAACTTTGTTTAGGAAACAGGTAATTGCCACCAATACTTTAGGTATAGCCCATTGAGATAATACTTGAGTGCATAACTAATTGAGTTCTCCTGGCCAAAACTTTTAGCTGCATTTCAAGTAATACATTTTTGAAGAAAACAAGAGTTATACACCAATCTTTAGAATATGGTTTCTCTGAAATAAATCCTGTTTATTTTATTTATTACTTTAGTTAGGGCTTCTTTCTACCCCTCTGAATATAGGGCTGGTGTGTTTACATGTATTCCCTCACCCGTCTTCACAACAAACCTTCAATATAGGTTGAGGAAATTCACCATGCTTTAATAGCCATAAACTCTTACAACTTTTATAGTCATAAACTCTGACCAACTATTCAGCAGAACAGGCTAAGGCTGCACAGCTGAAACAAGACAGACTTACCTAATTAGATCAGCCCAGCATCATGGCCAAATAACTACATTTAGAAAACCAACTCTACTTACATCAAAAGTGTTCAAGTTATTGATGAAGCCAGTCTTGACTTCAGTCATTAACTTTATACACATGGCATTCTATTGAACGTTATTAAAAAAAGTTATGTCCTTTCTCAGTCGGTAGCTTTATCTTCAGTCAAAGATGTTTTTTAAAACCCTCCCTGACAACTTTCTCCTTGGGTATTCCAGAAGCTGTCATAGTATTACCGTTTGTCTTAGCTTTCCTCGGGCTTTGAAAATGAGCTTGGTGTTCTTCAACGTAATTGTTAGACTTCACAGTTCAGCTTCTTCTGTATAATGTAGAACTGTCTGTTTCCTTTCATAACTGCCTCTGTTTGGGTTTTGTTTTGGAAATTCTTGGTGGAGTTTTATTTCTGCTGTCTTTCATGCAACTCAGCGGACCTATAGACGGCTGGTAGCTGTTGTTTTGTGCTTCAGGTTCTGGCTTCTATTTTCCACTGTAAAATATTTCATACTGTAGTTCCGTTCTATCCCAAATATGAGAAAGACAGAGATAGTGAGGAGATTGATGCCGTTTAAGTAGCTGCTACTCATAACTTTACTGTTCATTTGTAATTGTCCCTGTCCTGCAGTTCAGCAG